CCTTGGGGTGAAGCGCACCCCCTGCCAATCAAAGGTGACCGGCCAATGGGGTCTGCAGTGTGGCTCTTTGCCCCGCCCCCCTAGGAGGACGAGCCAATCAGAGCGGCCTCGTGCGGGCGGCACCGCCCGAGCGAGCAGACCGCGCGCCGCCTCCGCCCGCCAATCAGCGCCGCCCCCTGGCACGCGGCCACGCCCTCCCTTAGGAATACCGGCCAATCAGCAGAGAGGCCCTGCGCAGCCCCGCCCGCCCCCGCGGCCTCCAGCCAATCAGCGCTCGCGCTCGCGCGGGGCTCTAGCCCGCTGGCCAAACGCGGCGCGAGTTACCTCAGCGCTGGCCCCACCCCCGCGCGCCGCCTCCTCCACTCACGTCGCGGCGATCCGCTTTGACCCCGCCCCCGGCCGCAGTGCTGGCCAATCAGAATAGAGATTCCCCCCCCCGGCCGCCGCCGCTCACCGGGCGCGGCGCCAGCAGGGCCGGTGACCGGAGCAGCCGCGTCGCCTTCAGCGCCGCCGCCATGGCCGCCCCGCGCGTCTCGCGAGACTTCCGCCTCTCGCGAGAGCGGAGGCGATCCCGCTCCCGGATCTCGCGAGACTTCCGCGGCGCCACGGAGGTCGCGGCGGCCATTTTGTGCCTCGGCGGCGTCCCGCGCATGCGCAACGCGGCCCCGGCGCGGGCGCCGCCATTTTGTGCCCGGGGCGGGAGCGGCGGGGGCCACCGCGCATGCGCGGTCCGCCAAGCCCCGCCCCCTCGGCCAGGCCACGTCTCGCGAGGGTCTCTTGTGATTGGCCGCCTTGCTCTCCTCGTCCCGCCCTCCTCCCGCCGCTGCTCGGCGCTGATTGGGTCTCGCCTTGGGCGGCGCGGCGCTGATTGGCCGAGGGGCGGGGCCTCGCAGTGGCGGCTGGAATCATGGCGGCGCTGGGGCTTCTAGTGGGGCTGGTGGCGGCGGCGGCGCTCGGAGCGGCGGGTGCGGGGCCCTATGGGGCAGCCATGGGGCTGGGGGCATCTATGGGGCATCTATGGGGATGGGTGGGCCCCATGGGGCACCTGTAGGGCTGGGGGCCTTGTGGGGCAGCTATGGGGCTAGGGGGATCTATGGGGCACCTATAGGCCTGGGGGCCCTGTGGAGCAGCTATGGGGCTGGGGGGATCTATGGGGCTGGGTGGGCCCTATGGGGCACCTGGAGGCCTGGGGGCCCTGTGGGGCAGCTATGAGGCTGGGGGGATCTGTGGGGCATCTATGGGGCCGGGAGTCCTATATGGGATCTGTGGGGCAGGGGGCCTATGAGGATTTGACCCCTATGAGGCACGAGACGGCTCTATGGGGCTCCGGGGGTGTCTGTGGGGCTGGGGACTCTACAAGGTTGAGGGATTCTATGGGGCTGGGGGGGATCTATGGGGCTTATTGGGCTCTGTGGGTGTCAGGGGGCTCTATGGGCCTGAGCANGGGGGGATCCCCCGGGGTGTCCCGGACGCCTGGGCCCTCACACGGGGGGGGGGGCCGCGCAGCAGAGCCCTGCCCCGAACCCACCATCGCGCCCTCCTACTACACGACGTCGGACGCCGTCATCGCGGCCGAGAGCGTCTTCGTGGTGGAGATCTCGCTGGCCTGCCGCAACGGCGCCCAGGTGAGCCGGACGCCTGGGCCCCTGCCCCACCTGCTGGGGGGCGCCCGGACGCCTGGGCCCCCCGGCACCAACGGCCGCCGTCGCCTCCCGCAGAACGTGGCCCTTTACGCCGACGTCAACGGGAAGCAGTTCCCGGTGACGCGGGGCCAGGACGTGGGGCGCTACCAGGTGAGCCCGGACGCCGGGGCCCCAAGGGGGTCACGTGTGGGTTGGTGACGTCACACGCGGGTGGGTGACGCCCCCCGCCCCGGACGCCGGGGCCCTCCGCAGGTCTCCTGGAGCCTGGAGCACCGCAGTGCCCAGTCGGGCACCTACGAGGTCAAGTTCTTCGACGAGGAATCCTACAGCGCCCTGCGCAAGGTTGGGGGGGCGCCCGGACGCCTGGGCCCCCGAGGGGGTCCCCGCAAGCGGGGAGGGGTCCCCTGGTGACCCCCGTCTCTCATTGGCGCTAATTAGGCCCAGCGCAATAACGAGGACGTGTCGCGGATCCGGCCGCTCTTCACTGTCAACGTGGATCATCGGGTGAGAGGGACGGGAATTGGGGGGCCCTGGGTGTCAAGGGAGGGATTTGGGGGGGTCTAGGGGTGTACGGACAAATTTGGGGGAGATTTTGGGGTGTGAAAGGGCGTTATTTGGGGTTGAGCAGGAGTTTGGGGGTAAAAGGGTGGACTTTGGGGTATGGGGGAGTATTTGGGGTTCTATGGGGGTTGTTTTGGGGTGCTAGGGGGTGATTTGGGGCACAAGGGGGTATTTGGTGGCACAAAAAGGGGTATTTTGGTGTGTAAGGGGGTTCTTTGGGACACAAAGTGAGTATTTTAGAGCACAATGAGAAGTGTTTTGGGTGTGGGGAATATTTTGGGGCATATGGGGGGTACTTTGGGGTGCTAGCGGGTTTGGGGGGCACAAGGGGAGTATTTTGGGTGCAGGGGGTATTTTGGGGGACACGGGGGGATTTTGGGGTGCAGGGGGCATTTTGGGGGCACAATGGGGATTCTTTGGGGCACGGGGGGTATTTTGGGGTGCGGGGGGTGTCGGCCCCTCTGACCCCCCTGCCCCCCAGGGCGCCTGGAGGGGCCCCTGGGTGTCGTCGGAGGTGGTGGCGGCGGCCGTGGGGCTGCTGCTCTATTACCTGGCGCTGAGCACCAAGAGCAGCATCCAGGCCTGAAAACACCCGAAAC